GGTCCTGCTCTGAGCAGTATTGCAATTTCAGCTGCTCAACAAAGTCTTCCCAATACATCTTGCTAGCTTCTCCCTTGGGCATTGAATCAGCTAGTAACTTCCACCAGCTTAGTACCCCATATTTTAAAAGAGGGATCGCAAGTGCGGTCTTCTGTCTATTGCTGCACTCGCAACTTTCGAACATTGTCTCCATTTCGGAGATCCAGTTAATCACTTCTACTGGCGTCGGGCTTCCGGATAGACTTGGTGGTTTGGATGCCATGAAATCCTTATACTTGCATCCTCTTCCATCGTTTCCTCTATCCCAGTTATTCTGCCTAACAATCGGTGGGTCGTCTTGACCATGGATTCCACTAAAGTTTTCTCCTTCCGACTGCCCTCCGTTAACCTTGGGCTCTTCTATCGGAATCGAGAGTTCTCCACGATTCTGCCGGAGCAGACATCTCGTCTCTTCCATCTGACGATCCAGCATCGTCTGAATCATCAATTGCACACCAGCCATAGTCATCGGCTCGGGTGCTGCTGCTGCAATCACTACTTGCTCCAACACAGGTATTTGATTCCTGTTTTCATCAGCATTTCCAACTCCACTTCTTGTTATCACCATTGCTGATCTATACACCGAATAAGGTGAAATTAGATCCTCTTCCACGATAAATATCCAAATCATCCTTATTACTCCAAACGATTACATGCTAGTTCTAATATCGTATACATACGCTTAGAATCCTAAACACATAAACCTTCAGATCCGGTTGGCAACAAACCGTCGATCCGAACAAATAACATCATATATGGCAATCATATAACATTTAGCACATAAAAGCATTTTAGACAATTTTCCTAAAATAAACTAGTGCTCGTGTCTAAAATATAACAGACACACAACTCACAAACTTCACTTAGCATTCTAAGTTTAAGTCTAAAAATCCTACAAATTCCTAGTTCGCTTAAACTAATGCTCTGATACCAACTGTGACATCCCCAAAATCACGGCCAGAAAAGACCGGTTTCATTTATACTTTTAAAGATAATTTCAGAGTAAACCCTTTTGATTTGAAAGAGTTGTGGAATTTGTTCCCAAAAACAAAACATGATAAAATAATATTTACCAAAGCATTCCATAAAGAAATGCGTTTTCATTATATATCAAAACTCGGGATGTCATGTTCCGATACATACCAAAAAGCATAAACGACATATTACAAGTCATACAACAGTTATATACAACTACAGGCTTATAAACAAAATAACTTGATGATTCATCCATCTTATGCCCTTGCGCCACTACCTGTAATACAAATAAAATGAGTGGGTCAGGCCTGGGAGCCTGGTGAGCATATAGGGCTTTCAACCCACAATAATAATTATAATTAATTCATCAATCAACAATAACCCGATTACCCATTCCCGTTATCCTCACTTTACGTCCCTAAAACAACATCTATCTCAAGGGACCTAATCTAGGATTTTCATCGGGACGGACATTACTGCAAAGGGGTTTCCTCAACAATAGATGTCCTAAAGGCAACCATGAAGGGGGTAGAATACACCGGTGAACACATCGTTCACAACACCTACAGGTTATGAACCTGCCAGCGTTCCACAGGACAGTCTAGAAAGAGTCTGTGGTCGTCATCCATATTCTGCTGAATGACTAGATCAACTACAACAATGAGGCATCTCATCTGTTTATCACACGACAATTATCTACCCAAGTTCTACCTAACATTTTGTAGATAACAATATACACATGCATTTATATGCCATTTAAAACTGATAAGATATTCATTCCAAATAAACAGATAACACATAATCATATAGCACATGTTTCATAGAGAATATCTCATATACTTACTCCATTCAAACAATACTTGTATTAGAATCGTGTTTAAGAAGAGGACTATGCACTCACATAACACGTATTATATAAGAGATACTTTATATCTATGTGTTAGAAGAAAGGGTATATACACTCACTTGATCAGAAGATGATCGGACAGCACTACGACTTGTAGAAGTAGTATTCTTCGGTACATCTGGAAGATCTTCACAAAAACTGGCTTCTTTGAAAAACCGGGCTTCTTGCAGGCAGAGCTTCGGCTCGGGAACTCTGATTCTCGGGATCTTCGGGGCTTCGGGACTTGCTTCGCATCTCGGGATGATACCGGGGCTTCGGGGGGGGGGGGGGGGGGTTAAAATAGGGCTTAGAGAGAGTATCGGGAGTGAGAGAGAAGAGATGTAGCAACCCAAAACGGCTCGCCCTCAAAATCTATTTATAGGGAAAAATTGTTGTACTCACGTCGTGAGTTTCTAATGCTCACGTCGTGAGCTCAGTAGGTCACTGCATGTGTCACTCGTCCACTTGCTCTGGAGGGTGTACAGACTGTGCTCACGTCGTGAGCACTGTGCTCACCTCGTGAGTTCTGACACAGCCTCGAAAATTGTGTTCCGAACTTCAGAAATTCATATCTTTCGCATACGAGCTCCGTTTTCGACGTTATTTATATGCACGCGCATGTGACATTATGCTCTACAACTCTCCTTTTGACTCCGTCGGCTAATTTTGATTTTATTTTTATTATTTATTTTTAGTAGGCCGGGACAGGAAAACTCTATTAGAAAATCATATCTTCTTCATCTGACGTCCGTTTTTGTCTGTCTTTCTTCCGTTGAACTACCATCGATGAGATCTTCAATTCTCATTTAGATTGTTTCGGCTAAATATCGCTCGATCTCATATTCGAACTTTGGGCTGTTTACTGCTAGGCTGAAACTTCGAAAAATCATAACTTCCTCATACGAAGTCAGATTTGGGCGTTCTTTTCATGCACGCTCTCAGTTTAACATTATCTACGACTTTCGTTTAGATCACCAAGGCTAAATGTCGCTCCAACATAAATTCACTATTTACGTTACGCTGTACCGTACCGGTTTTGTCGTGAAACTTCGACAGGTCATAACTTCTTCGTTATAACTCGGATTTCAGCATTCTTTATATTTTCGGAAACCTCGTTGCGACCACTACATCATCATGCATTGATATCGGTCTTATCTAACATTTCATTTTCACGCTTATTTTCATTTTTAATTCATTTAAGCCACACAATTAAGCAATTAAGCATATAATACTCAAGTAATACATTCTTATTATTTCAAAACAGGTTACAAAGGCTAATCTAGACTATTACATTGCTATTGATGACAAGCCCAGAAACACGGGCGTTACAATATAGGGGACTCACCACCAATTAGGATTTTCACTCTGGGCCTAGTATGCTCAGCGTACTAAGTGGCTTACGCGTCAAATGCACGCATATGAGTACGCTGAGCGTACACTCGAGTACGCCCTGCGTACTCATTTACCACCTTTTCTCTATGAAGGGCCAAAATGGACAAGTGCTCAAAAGATCAAGGGTTACAAGGTATACCTGGACTTGGGATGTTATACACACACACACACACACACACACACATATATATATATATATATATATATATATATATATATATATATATATTATATATATATATATAGTTTTGTTTTGATTCTACAAGGAATGCGAAAAAAATGAAATAAAAAGGAACCCCAACAATATCATTTTCGACTTTAAGTAACTTATTTGAGTCTACTGACTCCTAAAATAAAAGTAGAATGTGAATGCTTTCATTAAAAGCTGTGAAATCATGATCGTAAGATCAGATGAGATTATCTTACCAAAATGAACCACCATCCAAATTTTCTAACAAATGAGAAGTAAAAATTTTAGACAGTGGGACCGGCGCTAAACTAAGAGATATGGTCCACGACGTATATGAAGTGTTGATAAAACCGATCAAGTTATGGTACATTGTGGTAATGAGGTAGCTGTGAAGATTGTGAATAACCCGGTTCAACAGGATAGGCTGAAATATATGGAGGTCGATCATTATTTTATCAAAAACCATCTTGATAAAGAACAATTGGACTTTCGTATGTAACCTCAAATGATCGGCTTACAAATATGTCGACGAAAACGGTATGCATTAGAGTTTTTCACATCTCTCTTAACAAGTTGGGAATAATTGACATCTATTCTCCACCTAGAAGAGGGGTGTTGAGGAGAACATATATTGGAGAATTGACTTGTTGACTAAAGCATTTAGTGGGATCGACTCTAATTGATTCTACTATCCATTTCATTTGTTGTATTTTGTATTTCTTCTGCTTCCTTGTTGTATTTAGCCTAATTTATATTGTTTTTTTAGAACGGCTCCTAATCTAACTACTAAACTACCCATAAAATCTCAATTGAGGGGGTCGCTCGTTAGCATTACACCAAAGGCCCTTTGGTAAGCTGATTTATGTTGTGATCTCCTTGTATACATTGGTCCATGGTACGGTTTTTTTAAGAACGGCTTATACACACACACCACTCTACTCCAAAATCTACATCTTTCATCAACACAACAAAAATTGGAACCCTCAACATTTGGCTATTTGATCCATGAGAAGAGTGCTCATCCCATTGAACACTAATCCACACAAAATATATGTACAAATAGAACGACATCACAATTGAGCCAAGCCAAGCATGCCGAAAAAGAAATAAAAAAACAAGAAATTATGCTAAAATAGGTTGCAAAGCCGAAGCATTCAAGTTAGCATTATGGTTGTATGAATGCAACTCTGCAAACGTGCATTAAATTGAGTAACATAAATAACCAGTATACAACTAAAATAGAAATAATATGGGCACATAGGCATTCGGGGCAAGCAATGCCAGGTGTGAGCAATGGAAGTATATAAACGACCTCAGACTTGAAATTTACCAAACGTGATCATCACAAACAGTCATGTATTACATACTCATACAAAAGAAATAAACTAGATCCTAATAATTAGACAAACCACATGTTACTCATCCATGAGAAAAAGTAAAGAGTTATAATTACAAACCATGCAAGTGTTAATAATAATAATAATAATAATAATAATAATAATAATAAATGTTTGAAAATCATTTTAATAGCAAACACTTGACAATGTCATGATGATGATGATGATGATATGGGCTAGTGGTCATCCTCATGGATGGGTGCAATGGTCCCATATTGACGAGAAGCTGATGCTGTGTAGGATCCAATGGGTTGATATACGGCTCGCCTTGGTGAATCATGAGGCGTGACATCTGTCTGGTGAAGTCCTCCTCAATATGTGGTGGCTGTGGCTGAGATGAGATTGGTAATACATTCAATTTATCATCTATAACTTTATATAGTCTGCATGATGCAAGAGAAAGTAGGACATGTTCATCGACAGCCCATGAATGTGATTCTGTAATAAATCTCTCCTGCAAATATCACCCGGGCCCAAACTAATGTTATGAAATATGATTCATCTGAATACACACTATTTTATTGAATAAATGTCTGTATTAATTATACAAGTAAAAATGGAGTTGTTATTAGTGCAAAAGTTTCCACTCACTCATAGCACTTGCTCTTGATAGAACAAGTAAGCATGTCAACATAACCCAGGTAGCATTACTCTACTTGGAGATTATTAATGCAGAATATAGATATTATCAACCCGAGTTACACAAGTTAGGGCTAACCCACTTAGCTAACAAGGTGTCTAACAAGGAGTTACTGACTAGGAGGTCCTGAGTTCTATCCGAGGCATATACTAACCCGCCATTCTATAAAAAAAAAATCAACCTGAGTTACAAAATTTCAACAAATTTGAATATTACTTCTAAAGAAGCAAAATTAAGCCTCACCTTTTTTTTCACATAAAAGCTTGTATATATGCATGAACAAATGAAAATAGTATTTGAAACATGTCATGCCAACAGGCAACAGCATAACAATCATTCTCTCCATCCCAAGAAAACAAAGCCCACTTTTGATTTTTAATTATAAGGTTTCATAATGTACCATCATCTAAATTTTCTATTATACCTCTATACATTAATATATATATATATATATATATATATATATATATATATATATATATATATATATATCCTTAATCCACAACCAAAACAGCTCTTGCTTAAGGTTTAGTCAAAAAGTTTTGTAGCTCATCTGTAAACCCACCCCCCCCCCCCCAGGAAGGATGATGGAACATACATCCAAATTGAGCAGATATAGGGGATTGTTTTACCAAATCAGTAATTGTGTTAAAAAAACAAGCAACTAGTAAAAGATAAAAACAGACTCATACCCAAGAAGGAATCAACAGAATGACCAACCCACCCACGTCCACTGTTTGAATAGTTGTTGCTAGAAGATTAGGTGTCAAAACCTCAAAATCCTGAAAAGAAAAAAAAAAAAAAAAAAAAAAACACATTGCATATCATCAGGATTCATCAACATTTACCATAGTTAAGAACTTGACCTAAAGTAACTCATTTTAATGTGACTGTGAATTGTGATTTACCTGAAATACACACATGCCAAATGTATTATTGCCAAGAATTCTCTCAGAATCCTCATACCAACAAGGCGTAATTGGTGCAAACTCAAGAAAAAATGAGAAAGGGGGACACTTCTCAAGATCTAAAATCCCATGACGTCTCAAACACTCCACCTGTTTGGCCATCTTCTTACGACTGCAAGATTGCAACATGGTATGGTGATCAATGAACACATAAATTAGTAATTAGCCAAGAAATGAAATTCTAGACATAAGCAACAGCATGACACATTCCATGTAATCACAAAACAAAACATTCTCTAGCTGCAAACAAAACTAGTCCACAAATTAAATTGGACTCATCCTTACCCTCCCTCTTTTTGTTTTCTGTTACACAACTTACACAGCTACTAGTATTGGTATATTCCTTGGTCAGTGCTCATCAACCTTTCCAAGGCGTCCAATTTACAACATCCTAAAATAGGACGCCTCAGTTAAATTTTATACAATTTTCGACAAAAATAATAAATAAATAAAAATCCTACTTTGCAGTCGATGATACCATGTGCGTGTTAAAGTACCTAACTTTTTGTTTAAAGTACCTAATTTTTTGTTATAGTATGGATGAAAACGTAAATTAACTACGAAAAAAAAATTAGAAAAAAACCTTCGAAGTTCAAGTTTATCCTCGTAGCACCAAACAACTTCTTTCGATACAAGGTCCCTATTGCCTTCTTCTTCGCGAATAATGAAGTAGAGCTTCGCAATCTGCTCGAAAAAAAACCCATGAATGATCCATACTCAAACTCTATAAGCAGCAAACATTTAATGTATACGTATATGTGTGTTTTTGTTTGTGTGATGACCTGATCATGGGGCTTGTCGCCGGATATGACGAAGATAGAACGCTGTCCGATTTCCAGCCCGTTACGAATTATGGCTCTCGTCCGTTCATCCGCCTTCACCTTCTTAATCAGCGTATTCATCATCATTCTGTTTGGCTTGCTTGCTTCTATGTTAAACCTAACCTGTGGCTGTGGGATTTTAAGGTAACAAAATGGGCCATAGACACCGGCCTTGACGTAAGAAAATGGGCCATACATGACACCCGACTCTGGCCTGGTTTAGGACGTTTAGTTTAGATGTTTAACGTTTCTATATAGCTTGATATTTGGGAAAATGAAATAAAAGTATAATGTATTTTTTATTTGCGATAGAGTTTGTTTTGGGTTTATATATACTATTTCAATTTGTTAAATTGTATACATTTAGTCTTTATGTCCGGCTACTGAGGTAAGCTGGAAAAATTAATTAACAGGGTAATATATTTCTCACTTTGTACACATTTAGTCATTCATTTATTTATTTTTTTGCACATCTAGTCCTTAATATTTTTTTATTGCAAAATAAGTCTTTGTTATTTTTGTATATATTCGGTACTTATGATCGATTTTTTTAATGTTTTCTTATGACATCCTACGTGGGACAATCATTAATGATGTGTTTGGGGTTGTTTATGTTTATGACCATAGCGGTACTCGTAACAAAAAAATAATGTAAATTACACGGATGATCCATGTGGTTTGGAGAAACTTGCACACTTAGTTCATGGGCAAGATTTTTAACTCGGATGATCCCTAGTATTAAAATTTATAACCCGTCTGGTCCTTACTACATCTGAAATGAATGTATTGCCCTTATTTATTTATTTTCTTTTATTTTCTGGTTTATTATTATATAAAATAAATATAAAAATTAAAATTAAAAAAATAATCCAAAAACCGCCTCATCTCTGCCTCTCCCCCTGTCCGATTAGAGCTCTCCCGCCACTGTGCCACTATCTGTTTCCTTCCTTCACGTATACAGATGAAATCAATTAGCCATGGTACAAATCCATTAAAAAAAGATGTAGAGAAAAACTAGAAAAAGCCCAAAGAAATTGATTCAAAATTCTAGAAATCCCCAAATAAAAAGCAGATCCACCGCCATTGTGCCACTTAATTCTTCTTCATCCCCTATCACAAATATGAAGAACGCCACACACCACCATCATGGGTTCGATCGTGAATGGAAGGAAGTAAGAAGAATCAATTTGCGAAATATGTATGGATATAAGGATATTGATTGAAGGTAGAGGTGAAGGACTGAGTAAAACGGAAACCATCCTAAAAAAACACATGAATGCTTCGCATTGTTTGGCTTTAAAGCAAGTGTCTTTTGATTTGGTTTTGAAAAACACAGGTGGATTTTGATTTGGTTCTGCTTTTGTCTTTAAATGTATGCTTCGCTTAATGTTCGGGTTTGATGTGGATTAGTCTCAATTTCAATATTGGTAGAGGATTTGAGTTCAAAATTTCATCAGATTCTTGTTGGGAAATGTGGGGAAGAAGTTGAAGGACTTCAGATGGTGGAGGATAGAGGGATATCTAAGGATTTGAGTTGATTCCGGTCATATGGTGGTGCTAAGGGATTTCCACACCTCTATTTATCGATTTATTTCTCAAAAAAATCCATGGCAATCATCGAGAAGAACTGGGGTTTCTATACCTGTAGTGGTGTTGATTATGATGGCATGTGCAGAATAAGAAAAGATCTAGTGAATCATCATAGAAACTCAAGAACACAAGGAGTAAATAATTCTTTGTAAGCTCATATTAGATCTAGAAAGGATATACAAATGGGTTTGTACACAATTTCTCTCTCTAGTCTAACACTCCAAATGGTTCCTTACATAATGGGAGTCACTCACTTCCTATTTATAGGAAAAACTCAACCCATTTACACATACAAAAGGGAAAGCCCAAGACTCCACATCCAAGCATGACTTTGCACTCTAACATTCTCCCCCTCAAAGTTAGGATTGGATGTCCCGGCTTCAGTATCCAACGAGCTAGCGCGATCAAGAGCAAACTCCCCCTCGAAGTAACACCGGGATTATAAAACCCATTAAGGGTGAGAAGCGCCCGAGGAATAAACTTCACAATACTCCCCCTTGATGTGTACCAAAAATGAATCAGCAAAAATCTTACATGGAAAAACAATCACGAAAAAGCCTCAAAAAATTTCCAATTTGTGAAAAATTTTGACTTTTTGGGTGAAAGTTGCAAGATTTTCCAAAATCCGGGTAAAAAATGTCACTTTCTGAATTCTGCAGGGACCCGTTGCGCCAAAAATAGTCTAATATGCGAAAATCTAGCCAATTTGCGAAACTGGGCATAAAGCGTAAATTCGCATAAACTGCAGGGACCAGAAATGAACATTCTTCATTTTCTCAGCTTTGGAACACCTTTTTCGAAATTGGGTATAAACTGCCAAACGTTCGAAACTACAGGTGCTACTTTCGAAAATTCATCCACTTGTCTTCAAAAATATCGAAATTTGACCAGTTATGCCATTTCTTCGAAACTATAGGGACCAATTTCGAAAGATATTTGTTTTCTTCTCCAATTCATTACACAGAGAGACGAACGGAAGAACTTCACATAGCGAAGTCAATGTGACTGCCACTTCGTTCGTTAAATATTGAGGGATAAGTTTCGAAACTTGTGATTTGTGATTATCCTTGTTCTTCACTTCGTTAATCAGAGAACAAAAATCGCTACAAAACCTTCGTTAGTCAACATCAAATTTTCGTTAATAAGGCAAACCCATTTATCAAAAGCAAATACCCTTCCAAACTCATTATCAACCAAGGCTTCGTTACGAGACAATCTATAATTCGTCCTTAAACGATAAGTCTTCGCTTTTCAGTCTATAACCATCGACATCCATTCCAACTGTGAAACCTTCGAAATCAATATCACTTAACGAAGCCCTTCGTTAACAAACAAAATCAACAATCTAAATCATCAAACTTCGCTTTTTAATCTTCTCATACGATTTCAAAATCACAGACTTCGTTCTACATGTCTTCCCTTCCCAAATCGAGACTCCAATTTCGAATAGCAAACTCGTTAAACAGCCACTTTGCTTTCCAGATGAGTTCTTCGCACAGCCATCTATTGACCTACAGCAAAGCCACTACTCACTCGACTATCACAAGTCGAAATTACCAGATGCATAGCGAACAACTCCAAATTACAATCACATATAGCGAACTCAAAAAAAAATCAGCATACATCGAACACAATCCATAGATGCGAACACTCGATTGACTTCAAACCTGTCAAGTCGAGACTCCCAGGCTTGATGCTCGACTCTCAATTATGAGATCAATTCCGTAAATGAGACTCTCAACCGCGATCCCAGATCTTCGACTCCAAAATCAAAACTCGACATCAAATAATCACGAATCCAATTTCTATTCGACCCAAATAATCGATTGTTCGACCCTTAATCACGAATCCAGTTTCGATTCGTAAACACATACCTCAATTCGTTTCCAGACAACACGAACATCACTAACAGTCGAATCGAAAAGAAACAGCACTCGAATTCGATTTCGATCCTAAGCAAACACAGTTGAATCAAATGCGTTTGACTGTGTATCATTAACTTCCAAATAATCGAATTCGATTTCAAATCCAAAACACATTCGACTCCAAAATCAAGTAAGCACAAACCCATTCGATTCCCAGTAACCATCGTTGGACCCCAAGCAAACAAACACGTTCGTTTTCAATCGACACCAAGTAAGATCAGTCAAAATCAAATTCGACTCCTATGAGAACAAATTGAAAATATGTTCGTCTACAAATCGATCTTCAATATTCGATACTAGGAAACGATCGAACAACAACAAACTATTTCGACAAATCGACAAATCAAATTTTGACTTTTGTTTATCTCGTTCGTTCCGATTTCGAACAGTTGAACACTTGATTTTTGGGCTTTTAAAAAAAATGAAGTAAAATTTGAATTGTATTAGAAATATACGGATCAAAACAAATTAATGAAATGGGCTTCAAATTTGGATCGATGAACAGTATCAGGTTGAATTTTTGGTTTGGGCTCAAAAACAATTGGATGAACAGTAAAAATCGAATGAATAGTAAAAATATTTTAATTTGATTTTGATTTTTGGGATTTTGATCTAAACAAAAACAATTGGATCAATCAATGGGGTTGAAACGGATTTGATCCAATGAGGCAAATCGATCAAAAATTGAAAAACGCAAAGTACGAATCGAAATCATGGACGTTTTGGAATCCATTTGAGAATTTGTGATACCTTTTTGACGAATCGAGTTCCATTTTCAACAAACGAATCGAATTTAGAAGATCTTGGTTCTTTTGTTGGAATGAGAAAATCTCCAATTTGAACATTGTACCACCCATTATGCGAGATGTACAACTCGTTCTTCGTGTTCTTCGTCAAACCAAGAACATCTTCAAAAGAACCATCAACACTTTTTGGGTTTTGACTTCAAATTCAATGCAACCTTTGGAGATTGTTGCTTTGGAACCCAAATTTGCTTCACGGATTTCGGCTTCACAACAACATTTGACGATTTTTGTGAGTAAACCTGCTTGTTTTTGCGATTGATCTTCTTCTTCTTTTTCTTTCTCATCTTTTTGCATCTTGAAGACTTGATTCCTTGAACAAACCCACTTTCCACAACTTCAACTTTGTGAATTTGAATCAAATCTTTTGGAGTTTGATACTTGTGAATTTCTTGGATCACCGGCTTCCGATAAGGAATCATTCTTTCAAACGAATCACAAGAACACAAAATATCATCAGTTTGAACTCCAATCGAGCAAAAAAAAATTTCATCATAAGAATCAACTTGAACTCCTTTTTCTTGAACATCATGAACATCAAGAACATCAAGAACATCACATTGAACTCCATTGTCTTGAACTTCAACAAACTTAAGAGCACGAAGATCATTTGGGTCTTCAATAAGAGAAATATATTTCTTTCTAAACAAATATTTTTCTTCTCCATTCTTATCACTACTACGTGTTGATATGGACCATGTAATATCAGCCAACCATTTGATCTCACAAAGTGGTTGAAATATCAAGCTTCCATGATCATCCTTCAATCCTCCATAAGAAACCATAGTTTCCCCAAAAATCAAACGGTTTAACACCAACCCATAATATTGATCTTTATTGACTTTGTATTTGATACCTTCAACGATCACAATCCAAGAATTGTACGGCAAATTCA